GCATCTCAGATTTAGGGTTTTTTTCCCCTGCTCTCCAAGGCCGGCTGAAAATGTCTTTGTTTATTTATTTATTGGTATCCCGCCTTTATGGTTTTTACCAATAATTCAAGGTAGCGAACTCATCCAATACACTTCGGTTTCCCCCCACAACGACAGTCCTTCGCTGGGAGAGAGAGGGACTGTCCCAGAGCAAGTGAGTTGGCTTTCTTGAAAGATAATTGAATGAAGAATAGCTTTTACGAAGGATTTGCTATCAGAATAGCAGTTATAAAGAAGAAAAGTGAAACACATAAAATTATCACCATAGAAAAATGAGATATACAACAATTATCACCATGTTAGTTAATACTTAGTTGGGTAACTGTTGTGGCCCAGCAGGAGCCGTTGGAGCTGCCACCAGACTCCGACAGTGAGGGGCCCTATGAGTCAGCTCTGGAGGATGTGGAGGACCCTGGACAGGGTTCCCACTCCGAGTAGGGCACAGAGAGGCTGGTTGGCCACCAGGAGGTGCCTGAGCCTTGGACCAGTGGTGAGGAGACAAGGGAGAGTGATCCGGACGCCAGTAGTGAGTTGTTCCTGGATGCCCGGCACCGAAGAGCTACTAGGTGTCAGGAACAGTTGTGCAAGTACAGGAGGTAATTGCACTCAGCTGGTGGTCATTAGGCTCCTCTCAAGACTATAAGAGGAATGCTTGTGCACACGCCCCTTTTGCAGGAGTCAACGCATTGACTAAAAGTTGGAGAACTGTGGTGTTAGCTTGGCAGGCTGGATTGCTGCCAAGGCTTATCTGTGCTGGATTGCTGCCAAGGACCTGTTTGTCTTTTAATAAATTCCTTAAATTTGGGTGCTTTGGTCTGGGACGAGGAGAGTCAGAACAGGGCAGTAAATGTGATTATACATTATTATGCTCGGGACTGGCCACCTGAAATTGTTTGAGATACGTTTAACAGGCTAAATGTAACAAAAACCCACAGACAAAACAAACAGCAAAGCCCTTTTCTCAGTAAAGCAAATGAAAAAACTATCAGAAGACAAAAATGAATTTTTGAAGACGTTCGTTTCTTTGGAAAACAAAATTTGCTGAACTGTGTTTCTCATACTGAGATTATAATTTAGCTTTGGCGTGAATGGCAACAAATGGATCCTCCGCGAAATTGCTAATGTTAAAATCAGCAGTGCCATCTCCACGGACATGGATTTTAATTCCGGTACAGATATTACCCTCCTTCTGTCCAGATATAATATCACAGTAAATTCCTTCGGGAAGGCCAGTTTGCAATGTGGCATTCAGATTCCTATTAATAAAAAAAAGTGTTCAATTTAGGCAAATGTAGTGATTTTATATTATACACCTTTATTCCCTAGATTTAATTCTGTTGCTTTGAGACGCTATTTTGTAATACAATGAAATCAAAGTGTTGTCTTTTAGCATTTAAAGTCCCAAAGTAGATTATGTCAGGCTTTTTGGATAATATCTCTAATCCTTCCTATAGATGTGTACTTCAATTTTTCCTATACTTCATTTGTCCATTTGTTCATTTCTGTTTCAAAGCCGAAGAGCCAGCGCTGTCCGAAGACGTCTCCGTGGTCATGTGGCCCAGCAGGAGCCGTTGGAGCTGCCACCAGACTCCGACAGCGAGGGGCCCTATGAGTTGGCTCTGGAGGATGTGGAGGTCCCTGGACAAGGTTCCGACTTCGAGCAGGATGTAGAGAGGCTGGTTGGCCACCAGGAGGCGCCTGAGCCTTGGACCAGTGGGGAGGAGACAAGGGAGTGTGATCCCGATGCCAGCAGTGAGTTATTCCTGGATGCCCGGCACCGGAGAGCTAATAGGCGTCAGGAACAGTTGCGCAAGTACACGAGAT